TGCCCCTACCTAAGGAGTATAGTTTCATTCTATAGAAAAAGTTACCTAATAAGATGAAGGACATAGGGACTTTCACTATCCCATATTTCATTTGAAATAAATTTGTGAAGAGAGCCCTTCATGACTTAGAGCATGCAAAAATCTGATGCCACTATCCATTTTCAAGAGACTTGAGTTTGGAAAGTCCTAAGTGTCTCCTTTCATAGTTAGCTAATCATCTACAGCCTACCCAATGGGAATTATTGAAGTTGTGTTGGTGAAAGTGGATGAATTCATATTCCCTTTAGATTTTGTGTTATTGGACATAGAGGAGGGCATGAAGATACCCTTGATAGCTGGCCGACCCTTTTTAGCCATTATGATAATGATTGATGTTTAATAAGGGAAATTGACCATGAAAGTCATTGATCAACTAATTTTGATATTTTGAAGACAATTATATTTCCCCAAGAATCAAGTGACGACCATTGTCATAGGATTGATGTAATTGACGGGGTAGTGTCCAACCAATTTGTTGAAATTTTAGAAGAAGACCTAGTAGAGCATTTAGAGGTTGAGGATGAGCATGAAACTTCTAAGGAAGAATTTGCTCTACTTGTAAAGGAGATTCCTAAAGACTATAGTGAGAGATTTGAGCTGTTATACACCACCAAAGATGCAAGCCCCTAGTGTCTTCAATAGAGGTGGCCCTTGAATTAGAATTGAAAGTCTTGCTAAGTCCCTCAAGAATGCCTATTTACGAGAGCCTTCAATTTTTCTTGCGATCATTTCAACATATTTGAGTGAGGTGCAAGAGAAGAAGTTGATGAGGGTGCTTAGAATATTTAGAAAAGTCGTTGGGTGTAGCTATTGAAGAAATTACCTGTTTTACCTACAAGATGAACACAAAATTATCTTCCTTAAAGTGCAATATCATCAATATAAATGTATAAAAATAATCCTAAAATCTGCTTTACTTTTTCATGCATCAATATGGTGGGCCAAGCAGCTTGCAGGAGTGTAGTCACAAGTGGCGTAGGTGCGCTTGTGTATGACCATACAAGGTACAAGCGTGCTACACTAGGATAACATGAGGGCCGCACTGACTGTACCCACTCAGGCTCAATGAACCAATTTCAGTCGGTGTACCAGATGACAGACCCGACCTGCCAATCCTCGATGACCTTGATTGTCTCGCTGCTCAAGCCTACCGAACCAACTTTGGCCCTATCGGCTCACTTGTCGGTGGAATGAAACATATATGTGCAAGACAGGATTCAATCATGAAACTATGTGAGGAGAAAATTCTCCTTGTCAACCTGGCTACGTGTGTGTTTTACACTTATAATAGATATATGTTACTCTTATATAAATATTAACCAGTAATATAATAAAATAATACACACAAACACACTGACACACACACATGATGCCAAAATTGGTTCAATCTGAGTCAAATCAAGCCAAAACAAGCCGTTAAACTGCTTTTAGAAGCTTTTGGTGCATAATTGGAAGGTTAGTAGATTATAATCTACTTATAGTCAAATCGAGTGTGCTAACAAGACAAATTCAACAAGCCCAAGATCACTCAATTTTGACATCATTAAGGCACTTAAATGTCCATAGAACTATATCCAATCAAGGGACTCTCCCCATGTCATCCAATTAGAGTGGTCTAAATTCTTTTCTTATTAGCAGTTCAGGCTCTATAAATAGAGCCCTATCTTCATTTGAAAATGGGGAGAAACCCTTAGACAAATAAAGATCAGAGCTTGGAGAAGAAGAAGCTGAAGCCAATGATTCGATGACCTCGTCTCACTCCTTTAGCCACCGACTACCATTGACCACCATCAGTCACCATCTACTTCTTGCAGTGAAATATCTTGCGAAAGCACAACATGCACTGCAGAATCCTTGTGTGTGTTGCTGAATAGAGAAACACCTGACGAAGTATTGTGTCACCCAAACACTGTGCAATGGCACACCTCAAAGATAATGTATTAGTTCCAATAACTGCTCCCAACTACAGCCACTTTTGACCTCTATACAACAAAAATTGTACTTTAAAAAACTGTGTACTCATTTATTGCCTGTGGGATAGAGACCTATACATTTAACACCAATTCATAGTTGATTGTTCTAACTGGGTTAGTCCTCGTGATTTTTTCTTTGCTGGGTTTTCCCAACAAAAACTTTTAGTGTCTCTACTCTTTTTTTTATTTGAGTGCGTGCTAGATTCTTGTACAATGCTAAGATGATAATTCATTACTCTACTGCCACAAATTCTTTAGCACACATAAATAAATTATAAAACTTTTGTATCAAACCTAAAAAATCACTATAACTTCCTGCGTAGAATTTAACATATGTCAAATTAAGATGCCAATTTCCTTATATGCATTATTAGCCTCTCATTTCAAGGCAATCAATAGCTTACTTTCAAAAGTGATTTCAAAACTTCCATAAATGGCTTGGTTGAAGCACTCACATGCTTATAGTTAGATTTATTTTTGTGCAATGCATAACCCTATTAAATAATTAAAATGAAGTATTAAAGATTATCACATAAATGTATATGAAATAAGCCATCTTCTCTAAGAAAAGTTATTTGAAGAGAATTTTTTCTGTTCTTATTTTGTTATTTTTAAATAGGAGGAAGATTTACATGCACACAACTCAATTTCTACGTATTAACATATCCAATATCTAAACTTCAGATTTTTCATATAGACAACTATAACTGTGCATGAAAAAAGTGTATTCACTTTTAAAAAGCTAATAAGTGTTATATTTTATGTGATACGAAAGATTTGAGTTGCATAAATATAAAAAGTAAAATTTATACGTTAGGTATGTAAATACATAAGAATTGAGTGGTTTGTATGTAAATGCCCTTTATAAATATTAAATAATGTCTTCTCTTAAAGAAAATGCTATGAGTAAGCTCTTAGACTTCTTCTACTCTTACACCAGCTAAGTCTAGGCCATAACCACTTCCCCTCTATCAAATCCATAAGTGAATCCTAATCATGTTTGTAACCATCTCCACTCCACATAACCCTTCAACACTCTAATCAAATATAGCAATTGCTTATTGATTAAGCCCAAACAACTCTATAATGGTTGTATAGAACCTTTTCCATTTCCACCAACCCAAAAATATCTTGGGCGTTTACATTCATATCATACTTTGTTTGCGTATTTACATAGCTAACACATCAACTTTCATACTTTTATAAATAAACTCAAGTATTTAGCATCACATCAAAATTCTAATATTCCTAACATTTTAAAAGTGCAATACATATTTTTCATACATAAGTTTATGACATCAAAAGATTACAAAATGTACAAATCAAACTAAAAATGATAGATATGTAATTACATGAGATTATATATGTGATATGTATGTAAAATTTTCAAATATCTATTACTCAAACTCAATTTAATATTTTAACATAAAAATTTATTTTATATTGTGTTTGCATATTACATATAAAATCTATACAATAATAACTAAAATATAATATAAACTTAGGACTAAAAATATTTATTTGTAAAATTACATATATGTATGTATGTATGTATGTATGTATGTATGTATGTATTATTGTATGAATGTATGTATGTGTGCATTATTGTATACATGTATACACACACACACAAATATATATATATATATATATATATATACACGCGCGCACCCATTTGTGTGGGTGTGTGTGCGTGCGCCAACACGAATCTTAGGTAATTCAACTAAATAAAGAACAAAAGTATCATCAAGGATAACCCAACAAAGCATATTAGGAACTACATCGACAACAAAAGACTGAATGATTTAATTGACCAGTTATAACTCCGTAATTTGAAAGATGATCTGAAACCAAATGAAGGCAATCAAGTCAAAGATTGAGATCCACCAAATCGAGAAAAGGAACAAGTCCAACACTCATCCAAATATCATCAATCACCTCGTTGGAATCTTCAAGACTCTTTAAGAGGCCTACGGTTCTCATTACTAAACAGTCCTCGAACACTCTAGATAGATCTTCTGTCAAAGGGGTAAACTGTCTGTCAGATTACAGTGATTCACTCTATGTCTGAAAACCTGGCTTCATCCCAACGACATGAGTTTCACATCCATGGTTAACAGTTGACAATCAGACCGAAATAGCTGACCGGTTGCCTCAAGCCAACTGAGCGAAGTCCAGACGACCGAATGACCACCACAGCTGACCGATTGCCCCGACTCAACAAAATTGGCCAAACGGGCCTTGAGAAATTGATGATTACAAATCTCAGTTGGGCTAGCGATAGGGTAGCTGAGCCATAGCTGAATTTAATTTTTATATCTAAAATACCTTGTAACACACTCATAAAAGCAGGGGCAAGCATGCAATTTTTCATTTTATAACCACCTTGCCTATAAATATGGTGGGACTTTTCTACAGTAAGGTGTTAATCAGTCATGCTTAAGAGAACCAATTCTTTAATGTGCTCTCTCTTTCTCTCTCCTATTACACTCTATTCCTTAGATTTGATTCGTAGGACAAATTCAGATCAACATATATATATATATAGGCGGGCGGGCGGGCGTGCGTGTGTGTGTGTGACTACAGCCAT